AATCTTGATAATTGCATTTTGCAAAAAAAAAAAAAAAAAAAAACTTGAAAATCAGAAATGACCGGTTCAAATCCGGTTCGGCGGTTTCGCGATCCAATTGGTTTTTGACCGGTTTCTTGGCAAAGTCAACCCTGCATTGAACCGGACCGGTGCCATGGCCGGTTCGCGGTTCAACCGGTCGAACCGGCCGATCCGGTCTGATTTTCAAAACACTGGAATAAAGACTGTGGATGCAAATGCAATTCCACTATTCCTTGTCAAGATACTTAAATATTCCCCCAAATATCACATCACATCCTACCGAAATGGGAACAAAATATATAAATAAATAAAACCGTATGGGATAGCTTGAAATCCTAAACAGTCGGTATATGCTCAATACACTAGTACTATTCCAAAGGATTTATGCACTTGAACCAGATGAATGTCCTCCTAGTAGACTTGTATAGGCAGATAAGGTACTACTTTTCCGGGGTTATCTTGAGAATGATAGTATAAAAGAACCAGAAAGGACTGAATTCATGCTAAGTGATATTAACAACGCTATAAAACAGCCAAACGACTATTCTTGTCATGTGAATCTCTAGTGACTGGTAGTTTAAGACTTTGCATGCATGCATGTATGCCCACACTGATAACCATCCAAGCACGTTTTCAATGTATGAATGAGTTGTTCCGTTTAGTCTCCATTTCCTGTATATACGACTTACCACGCTAGAATCAGAAAAGGTGAAAGAAACACCTTAGTCGCTAAAATGGCCAACTTCTTTCATTTTGAAAAATTAACTAACACGAATTAAGCTTCCCTCTTTCTTGTTTCATTTAGAAAAGTTGGTTTAAATTGAAGTCCATACAAGTATAGGTATATATCTTCGGACATGTCGGCTACTCTAAGGTGAGGTAGATGACAATATAATGTCACTGGTTAAGCAGTGAAACGAAAACAAAATATTTGGTACTAATTGCCGCATTAACGGTTTCAGGTTGGGTACGTGTAATATTAACTAACATGAATCAAGTACGTTCTCTCTACATCTTCACCTGATATGCACTCTAAACTACTCCATCTAAATATGAAGACAGATTTCCCGAAGAAGGAGTTGCATCAAAATATCTACAAAATTCCCCAAGAACTATCCAGAAAATTTTCATTAAATTTCGCATAAAAAGTAACCATTGTAGGTGAAGAACCAACTGTTCAGCTTTTACCTAGAACAATACATCAATCCCCTAGGAAGAACTAAACACTCCTACTTAATTTCTACACAGATATGCAAGATTTACCCCTTGGCTTTGATAACTGATAAGCATAATGGAGAACCAAAACTCCCTGAAACGTTTAGGTAACTTGCGTGGTTCTGAATTAGTTCAATAAGTATGTAAATCGTGTGGAGAACTTTTGCAGATACTGGAGCTACGTACGGCCACTACAAGGTATGCAAAGAAAAGGAATGAAGCAGAGAATAAAGCTATCAAAGTTTCTTTGAAGGCTAGTGCTGCTTTTTCTGCTTTATTGGAATGCTTGGGATGCCACTCCACATTTCATAGTATCCAAAGACAAGTTACATTTGAAACTTACGCGGTAATTTACCTGTCCAGCATTAGATATCCGATTACGATAATAGTGTAAATAAAAGCATGTTACAAGTTAAACAATGATATGAATTTTGCGGTACAACCAAATGTTTAAAAATACAGAAGTTAGTGTCAATTGTTGTATTAAGTGACAAGATTACTCTCCAAAGCTAGTTTAATATACATACATACATACATACATATATATATATATATATATATATATATATATATATATATACATACATACATATATGCAAGTTTTTATAAATTGAACAAGGTTTCTTCAATCGTGTGCCCTCAGTGTACCAAATATAGGGATGGGCACAATATAAATATCAGATATTATTATCCACCCTTGAATTAAGAAAATTTTAGTGAAGAAATTTTAAACTTTTGTAGACAACTAAATGTCAGCCTCACGTCTTATCGGCTAATTGCTTAGTTTATAGGTAAAAAAAAAAAAATTTCGCCAAATACACCTCTGACATGGACTTCTTCTTATTCTATAACGTGCCGTGTTGAGTCAGCACGGCACCAAAATTAAATTTCGCACAAATCAAAAAAATGTTAGTATGTTCAGCCTTGTGTCGTCGGGACGTGCACAGTCAGCACGTCCGCACTGACACAAGGCGGACAAACACTGCTATTGCATCAGTCCGAGCCGTGCTGACTGTGCACGGCCTGGACTGTCCTCATTTTTATGTGGTCTTATTTTTTACTCTCTCTCTCTCTGGGGAAGGATATAGCCATCAAACATGTTTCTTTGTTTCTTGACTTTCACTGTCCTCATTTCAACTCTTTCAACAAAACAAAGAAGATAGAGTATTAAAAGAGTGCCCAGGATATTAATGTATTATTATTAATGGGTCGCTTGGTGTAAGATCAGAAGAAAAATTTCTATAAATCTTTTGTTTGGGGTTAGGTGGCAAGTCCTTCATCAAATACGACAATTCTTCAAGCTTCTTGTCAATTTAGGCTTTTATATATGCATCTTAGATAGCTCCATTCTCATTCCTACCAAAAAAAAGAAAATCCTAATTGTAGCTAGGCAGGCTTCCAATTATAGGTCTTCTCCCCGTATCCTTTTTTTTTTTTTCTCATTTCATTTTTCTTCGATAATTACACACCAAATCCCACATGTATAAAAGCCACAACACCTCAAATTGGGATTTCTGTTGTGTTGACGTAATTATGCCAGTCTTTGCTGCTTGTTCTTGCTTATCAAGTTTGGACAATTTACCAAAGTTTTGAACTTGAAGAAGGCTACTAAATTAAGATTAGGCTTACCTTGTTCAAAAAAGTCAAAATCAGGTTTCAGTAATTTGTTGTGTCTGTCTTATCAATCGTAATTTATAGTAATTCGTTTAGAATAGAATTTTCCAAACATAAATGAATGATCTTTTGAGAATCAAAAACTAAATTAAGCCTTGTTTATTAAATAAATGATTGCTTGTTTTATGCGTGCAATATGCTAAAGCAGACAAAATATTTTTTATTTCCGAGTACATTTGTTTTATTTACGCAATGCTGCCACGTTAAATGTTGAGACTCAAACTTTTCCCCAGTTATTCAGTGCTACTAGGGAAAAGCTCCATTACCTATTTCTCAAAAATAAATATTTTCAGGCGTCAAACTTTGGCTAATTGCTTAGTTTATAGGTAAAAAAAAAAAAAAAAAAAAAAACATCCGCCATATGCACCTCTGAAATGTTTTAAAGTTGGGTTTTTAGATTCTTAGGTTTTAGAGTTAGGGTTTTTGCGTTAATGGTTTAGAGTTTAGGTTTTTGATGTACAATATAATTGAATATAAGTTATGAATTGCGTGATTTTATGTGTTCCTTTCAAGACATGCGAAATAGTATTGCTGATAGCTTGTACCACATGCATTAAATGTTGTCCCCTAGTGGTTGTTTATCTAAAACTCCATCAAATAAATACATTTTATTTAAGTCAGAAATTTTAAATTCAGAATCTCCTATATATAATTTATTCTACCCAATCCTCTCTCTCGACTAAATACTTGATTAATTAACCTTTAGAAAATGGACACGATTTTTGTTAGCGTCGGAAAAGGGGCAGTAGAACAGAAAATTTGATCTACGTAATAGAGTCGTTAAGATGTGCAATTTAATACTGCAAATCGTTTTTGGAGGTAAGACAGACTCTCACGTTCGCAAAAATGCTGGTAGCTGTAATTGTATCAACTCAGCCGAACTCAGCTTCTATATATTGTTACCGCAGTCGTATGAAAATCTTCAAACTACACGAGAACTTCTATCATATCAAGTAACGACCACAAACAATGGCTAAATAAAGAATGAGCCTGAAATTAACTACCAGGTAACAAGCAAAAACTATGGCTATTGGCTAAATAAAGAACGAGCCTAAAATTATACTCACATGAATACCCACAATATTGATTCGCTAATCAACAATTGAGACCGCTTGAGGGCACCTACCAACCGGCTTCAAATCCATGTCAAGTTCTCGCCAGTTATCTGATAGTGGAATTCAGCAGCAAGTTTGATGTTCAATCTAACAGGTCGACGATCAAACAAGGCCTTGTTTTATTCCAGACCACCCAGCAAGCGGGGCCAATTTTGAAAAAAGATAGTGGTAAGATATTGATCAGCTTCCAATTAACAGAAGCCGATCAGTCCCTCTGTTTTATCTTGTTTGCTGTATCACCACACTAATAATAACCTTTCGCTGATTTGGAAGTTCAAAGGGAGAAGAGAAGCGGCGAGCAGAGATTTTACGAATTTTTTTGGGATTTTAGAGAGGAAATGAAATCATCTACACACAGATAAACAACTAAATTTTACTTTTAGTAGCTTATTAAGGACAAGAGCGGCATTTTAAAAACTTTACAAAACCTTCCTCTCTTGACACGTAGAGGAGTTACTTTCCATCCCTCTCTTCTTCGCATATCCACAATTGCCAAACCAAAGCTTAACTCCTTCCTTGTAAGATTGTGCTTGGATGAGCACTGATAACGCCAAGATTTATCTTAAAATAAAATGGGCTTGGCTTCTAAAACCAAAAGTTGTTTGGCGGGATGCTGTCTCCTGCAGCCGTGATGGATAACTTCCTTCGACCCTAATGAATTCAAGCATTTGTTTTCCTTTACGAGAACCGCAAGTCCTACAACTAGAGGGCTCTTACTTTATAAAGAGCAATTTCATTACTTCAGACACCATATCAAATCTGATATCAGCTTTGAAAAAATGGAAGATCAAGCAAGCTGCTAATTGACTGATGAACTCCTTTAAGTTAATTTTGCTCGCAAAGCTGGGAAAATTCTGCCCGCTTTACAGAAAGTCAAAGACAGTTGCACACCAGCCATCAGCTTCTATCTGATGACAACCAAAAGTTGTAGTAGATATGCTATGCGGTCACAGGCAAACAGGACGGAGAAAAACATATAAAAGAATATATCTTATTTACGAATGAATGAAGTAGAAGAAGATGCCATTTGTCATTCCAACTATACAATGCTGAGCATTCCACAAATAATCAGAAGGGCGGTGCAAACTACAACACAGATAACAACCTGTAGAGCTCCGCAAAGGCAGCAGGCCGATAAATGGCTCCCTCAAACTGTTATAACTCGGAACAATTAATTCCTATTATATTTTTTACAGTATAGAGTAAGCTCGGATCACCTCAACAATAGGTGCCCGGCATAATGGACACTTTCCTCCTCCTCGAACCAACTCATTTGCACATTTTGAACATGTACACATGTGCCCGCATCTACAGAACAAGAGTTGTATCAAATTAAGAAGAAAGTACCTTGTGAAGATTAATTGAAAAAAAAAGTGCCTGTCATTTTAAATACAAATCTCTTCATATTGGTAAGCATACCTGTACAATAGGGAATCAATCTGGTTATCACAACAGACACAGCAGGTCCCCTTCCTGACATGACCCCATTTGGACCCATCCTCTGAGGTCGCTGTAAGCCCTGAAATGTTATTCAAATCACTGAAACAATTGGTACATGTAGATTTACAACTGAAGCTTCATATATCTCATAAGAAAATTGAGGAAATATTACTGAATCTACACTCAGAAATTGGCCCAGTTTGAGCATTGAACGTGGAATAGATTATGTAAGTACATAGCTCGTCAAAGGGAATGCCAACTCATTGGCGATTCCCGTAAAGTTGAAAATATGAGAGAAGTTTTGCATGAAAATCCAGCACAGACCTTGTCCACCAGCCGATCTATTGAGAGCAGCCGAAACTTCCTGTCTGACTGAGCGCTGCAACTCCAATTGCATATCCATGCAAGCTTCCAACATTCTCTGCATGTGATTCATACCTTGCTGAAGTCTTGCCATGTCAGCCCTCAAATCATTAATCACCTCCCACTCCTGTTGCAGTAGATATTCAGGGATTTAGCCCAAACATAAATAACGGACAGATGGATGACTTAATTGGTAGTCAACACACCAATTTTTATGAATAACTATGATAGAGATAAAAAGAAATATATCTAATTTTGCTAACTATAGGGATCAAAATGGTCATAAAGCTTTCACAGTTCTAGTCATTAACCAAGACATCTTGAGTTGAATGATCATTTAAACAAAACTGAAACCTTAGAAGAACTTGTTCAAAGTAAACAAGCCTACTTCATATGTCCTGTATATAGTGAGTTTTAGGTGAATGACCTGGGTTAGACATCAAACTAATGACGGACACAACAAACTATCCTAGAGTCATTACTTTCTAAGAACTTCAAAAGAAGGCCATGGAACATTTTCCAGTAATGATATTCAAAAGAAGAAGGGCATCCACCTATGCCCCATGTCATGTCCAAATTATCCAGAATGCACGTGTTTCAGATAAACCTTGGAAAAAGACCTGCGGATTACTCACAAGTTCAGTGCGATGCACACTTTGACGAGGCCAACTGGAATGATGCAAATCCTGATGCCAAAGTGGTTGTGGAGGAGGTACTGGGGGAGATGGTAGTACTATTGAAGGTCTACCAATGACATCATTTTGATCATCATTTCTTTCGTCATCCTGCTGTTCCAGATTCTGCTCTGGAGATGCAGGAATTGGCAAGTTCCTATGCAGATCCCAGTCAATTGGAGAGCGTCCTTGCCTTTCCACATATGACTGAATTAGTTGATCCAGACTTTCCCGAAAGCCACTGCGAAGAAGATTAGAGACACTCCTCCTACAGTGAACAACCACGTTGAGGAAGTGGAATACCCAAGCAAACATGACGAAATCCAATACAAATCAAGAGGAAGAATCAGAAAATAGAATTTACCTGCTCAAAAGCTCTCTGAGTTCCATGCTGTACACATTATCATCATCAGGAGGATGAAACCTACTAAGTCTCCTATATGGAACAGCACGCCGCATTCTTGGAGGATCAGAAGGTCCTTCGGACCAATTTTCTACAGCTTCTCGAGAGCCATCTTCACGCCAAACCTCATTTGCTTCTTGAAAACGACGATTATCTCCACCTTCATTTCCTGCTGTTCTGAGGGACCAATTAGTTCTTGAATTTCCAGGCCAATTTGCATCCATATTTTCTGAAATGCTCTCTCTCCATTCATTAGATTCATTAAAGGTCATCTCAGGCTGGATATGTCTCTCATCTTCAGTAACCTGTTCCTGAATATCCCTTCCTTGATTAGGAACTGCTTGCTGATCCATCCCAGTGACAGCTGCACTACCATCTAAATTTCCAGTACGTCCTGGCAAGTGATGAAGGTTGCTTTCCATACTCCCAGAATGAGACTCCTCGAGACTCTCATGTTCACCCTCCTGAGAATGATTTGAATGAGTCGAATAATTTCTAGAATCACTGTTGTTATTAGTAGATGAGGTTTCATGAGGGCTGCTTACATGACCTCGAACTATAGTTTCTAATCTGGAGCGAAACCCTTCCCTGGTTGCAACAGAAATAAGTCAGGGAATGAAGATGAATTACGCAACAATATAGATTGGCAAAAGCATGGAAACCAAAATACATAAGCACCTACACATTATAAAGCAAATGAGTGGACTAAAATACACCAAAAACCACTAGCATATAGAAAATGTATAACAATGCATTATAAAGCATTCAGAGAGAAACTGTACCTTGAAATGAAGGCCAAAGTACACCAAAGAATGAACAAGCATATATTCATCGTATAAATCATGAACCAATCACTTGACTCAAGAAGAAGAGGTTTCTTAGTAACCAAGTAGCATTATATGCCAAGACCACTGATCACCTACTAACAAATAAAAATGAACAAAGGACAATGCTACACAAAAATGGCAGATAAAAGCACCTATAATAACAGATTCAAAAGCATGAATAACAATTTTATAACTCCAAAAGATAATACAGTACATGGTCTTCAACATTGTCACAATTCAACTTCAATTCAATTTCCCAATTAAAATGATAAGTTATATAAAACATTCCCCAACAGAGTTTAAACACGATGGAATATCAAGTCTTCAAAACAAATTGACCCGGCAGGGGAAGGACGAGGAGAAATATGGCAACGAGCAGGACAGCATAAAATGTCCTATACAAATGTTTGTTCCGCAATTCAGACAAATTCATGTAAGTGGCCCCATAAATAGCGATACCTGATAGCAGCAAGAAGTTTATTAAGATGTCTGAAAAGTTTTGGTTTAATAGGAATACAAAACCATTGACTAAGTAACCATGTATACACCAGACATCAAAAAGAAACAATTATTTATATTCACAGTAAAACCCAAAAAACAATACTTATCAAAGAAGCTACTTCAAAGAAAGGTTTTAGCTAAATATCATGAATGACCAGAATACTGGGTAAATAATCAAACATTGAATTTAGTTGTCAAATAAGCATTAAACTAAGCTCAACAATTTTCACAAAATAACCACAATCAAGTAACAAAGTAATACATGCAGAGGATAAAAAGGTTAACAACAAAGTTTTACACCCAAAAAAAAAAGAAATAGATTTATGAAAAGCAGAAAAAAGAAAAATTGGAATCTGGGTTGTGCAGCCGATGAACAAGGACAACCCACCTCAAACCAGAAACTGTGTGTCTTTGCCTCAACTGAACTAATTCACTAGCTGCCACTGAAGGTGGTCTCTCTTCTTCAACAGGCCTTTCATTCCGCAGGAATCTGCCCCTGAGTAGTGACTGAAGTAAAATACATAAATTTCAGGTCTTCAAGAGCAATATACAAAAGCCGAAGACAATGTCTCAAAAAACAAAAACAAAAAAAATAGATTTTCAGATTGTAATTGAAAATGATGATCTGCATCGAAACTCAAGTCCTTCATAAGCATTTTCCAGTTAACAGACAAACATGTCCATTGCATGAAAATCTTCACCAGTGACGTTTTCGTTCTAAAACTTTTATGGGGAAATAACAAAAACAGTATCAAAATCCATTCAGGAAAACTTCTGCATTCAAAATTCAAGATAGGTGCTTAAAAAACATTATAAACACTCTCTTCGAGACTTCCAGTAAAACCTTAAAAACTGAAAAATAGAATACCTATCCAAAAAAAATTTTAACTGTTTTCTCCTAACATATACCTTAACCATTCCTTCCAGCAAGATATTATTACCAAGAAGTACCTAATCTAGATGTTCATATCAGTTTCTCCTACCAGGAAAACTTATAGTTGTTAGTAACCCATAAAGCATAACAGCACAAATGTCCTGGGGCATGGTGATGCCAACATTCACACAAGAAGAATTTAGGGCACTTCTGCAATAAATTTTGTAATTTAAAATAAGTGTGCACTAATTCACTATCTATAAAGTTATCTAATAATGTAGTGATTAATCTAGCAATGACCTAATCAGACACAAAAAGAGGAGGGGGGGAGAGGAAGAGGAGAAGTGAAACAAAGTGAAAAATCTTCAGTGCAACGTAAGGTATAAATAGCTCTAGCCCAGAGCTGAGGCTATTGAACAGCACTACTTATTGAACAGCACTACTTAATAACTATGTCAAGGCCAAAACGCACAACACGGTACATAATCGAAGAACCTGCAGGAAGAAAAGTTTATGGTGCAACATACCCAAATTACTCAAAAAATGCATCACTTGTATCTTTTCCTTCTTTCTAGACATATCTTGTAGCCACAAGTACTTCAAATCAACAAAGACAGTGAAGTGACTATAAAACTTGAACTTTGCTCGCTAGATTTAGGGAAAATGACTAAAAATGAAAACAAAAAAAACAAAAAAAAAACCACAACCTGCTTCAGTCAGAATCAACCTGACAGAGCTAAAGTGCAATACAAAGACACAGCAGGCATCAATGATAAGAAACTAACCTGAATTCGGTTGCGATGGGCAAAGTCAGATACAGCTCGATGTTCCAACAAACCTTGAAGTTCCCTCTGTCTTTCCCTCTCAATCCTGACAAGCAAATCAAGTAGAGCTTGTCTTCCACGCAACCTCAACATGTCTCTGCGGATGTGCTCTGGTTGACCTTCCTCCTGGTCACCCATTGAGCCTTCACGAGTTTGATCAACTTGAGCACCAATCGCAGTGGTCTCATCCTCCCTATGGGCACCACGAGCTCCTCTCTGCTGGCTTGTCATCTGGACCCACTCCCTGACAACTCTCACCCTCTCACGCTCAGTTTCCCCAAGCCATTCCCCTCTAGAACCACCATTCCTCTGAGAAACACCAGATGAGTGGTCCCGGATTCCAGTCTCCATCCATCCACGGACAATATGCCTAACTCTTTCCCTCTCTGTATCACCTAGGTCAGGAGATTGCTCACGACTAGAATTATCTTCATCCCTGTTGCCATTCTGCTGGCTAATAGCATCATGGGACCAAGTTCCATATTCATTCTCACTCTCGCTGGCATCCTCCAGGCTACCCTGATTCTCACTCTCCCGACTTTCAGACATGTTTGTGCTAGAAACATTTGTATTAGGCCCAACACTCCTCTGCTGCCTCAATCTTTCCCTGACCCGCTCCCGAGCACGGTCCAATACGTGTTCATCCTCCAATTCCCGCCACATTTGCAAAATAGACGACGCCTGAGTGCTCGGCCTCTCAACATTTCCCTGTCGCCTTGAAGTTGGAGACTGTGATTCTCTTAGGAATGAAGAATCAAGCATGGACACTGTATGCAAACCTGCAAGAGCAATCAACTCTGATTCACGGTTCCTCCTCTCAATAGTGGTAATCATCTCCTGCGCCTGCCTTGCAGCCCACCGGCTCAAAATGCGCGAGTGACGCCTCCTGGCAGCAGATGACTCAGCCAAATCATCCCCCTCAAGCTCCGACCTTCTCCTTCTCCTCACAAGTTGTTCACCCTCATCATCCTCATCCTCGGTATTTCGGGGAGAACTGCAGGACGCAAATGACATACAATCGTCCAAATGCCCCCGCATTAACTCCTCCAACCCCCTTTCAAATTCAGCTCGTGCATCATCAGCTGTCGTGGTGCTTTCAGGCTTCTGTTGAAGTTGTTGCCGAACATCCGTCATCTTCACCAGCTATAGCCTAAATAACCTACACAATACCACCACCTCCACCACCAAAAGAAAACAAGAAAAAAGATCCCCTGATTATAGTTTTCCTCAATTACAAAAAATTCCCATCATTTCCCAAACCCAAAAGAGCAAGTTCGCACATCCTGTTCCTTTCACACATTAATCCACTCAACACATTGAAGAAACAAGGGAAAGGCTAAACGTAAACCAAACCCTAAACCTAATCCTAAATTGAGATCAAACCCCATGGAATTGACAAAAGAAGCGCACTTTTTCATCAAATTCAAATCACTTGTTCGATACATCTCACCTGATCAAATTAAACACGTCAAACTCCAAAAATTCCTCCCATCAAGACATCAATTAAAACCAAAACAAAATTATAAAAGCACACGAAAAACCCAAACCAACGAAAATAAGATCTGGAAAAAGCAATGACGATAAAAGCAACGAAAATGATATTGTGGAAGGCAATGAAATAACGTACCTCGAAGCTGTGCCTATACGTCGATTGCAGTGTCGAAACTACCAATGACAAAACCCTAACTTGCTTCAGTGATTAATTTATTCTGACTAATATATAAATTAGAATTAGAAGGAAATGCAGAAAGAGAACGCAATAGTTTTGGGGAGGGAGGGGAGACGGATACGAGGAAAATCGGAATATAAATAGAGAGAGACGCTTATACACTACAAGTACCAGAAGAGAGAGAGGAGAAGACGAGAAAAGGAGATATGAGAGAGAGAAAAACTAATTTTTTATGAATTTTTTTAAATTGTGAAAATCAATTAATTTCCGAGATTTTTTTTTTTTTTTAAAGTGTTCCTGCCTTTATTTTAAAGGAGAGGAAAGACCGGGAGTTTTTTGGGCGGAAGAAAAGAGGCAGAGACAGATGCGCCGATTAACTGACGGAGTTGACACGTCATCAGTTGCCGAACTCCGATTCATTTGAACCAAAAATTTTTCTTTTTTCGCTAACACCCAATAGGGCCAATGAATTTTGTATACTACACCATGGGCTTGCTCCGGTTTGCTTCTAGTTTTGCAAGATTTGATTATGAAAAAATGATTGTGAAAAATAATCTAAAAATAGAGTATTTTTGACAAATTCTAAAACTTAGTTTTTTTATATTAAAAATTTTAATATAGATAGAAAAGCAAATGATAATACCATATTAATTATCTAAATTAAAATTTATAATCAGGTAAATAATCAATAATCAACTGATGATGACTTTTATAACATCAGAGTTTTCAAGCCCAAAATTGAACCACCAAGGCTTGCTTAACTCTTGTGTTCAAAACTAACATTCTTTTATATACATACATACATACATACATATATATATATTATCTCCTAGTTGAAGAAAGAAAAATACTTAAGTTTTTTTTTTCTTTTCTTTTTTTGGTAAATGGGAGGTCTTAAATCCAATGCCTCTTGTTTATTATAATCCCTTCCACTTTAACACCCAACCCAACCTTCTCCCACATTTTTTCTTGTTTTGTCAATATGTAATTGGGGAAAAAAAAAAATTTTTTGGGTTTATTTTGTTTCGATTTGATAATTTTATGTTTAATACTACAAGATGATAAGGAATAAAATTCTCATGCACCATTTAATGATTTGAGGCGGTTCCAACAATGGGAAGGAGGATTTGTTACGTCCAATGAACAGAAGTTTGGAACGTGTCCGAATCTCAAAGCTCAATTGACCAGCCATCGTTTTTTTTCTTTTTCTTTTCTCTTTTTTTTTTTTTTATCTTAAAGCACCAATCATCGTTTATTACTATTTGGAAGCCCACAACAGAAAGGAGTTTTGGATAATTACTCCTGTAATAGTAATATCTTCTTATCCATTTGCAAATTAGCCATTACATCTTTGCATTATCTATTGCAATCCCATCGAAACGAAAATATGCTTGCGTCTCGAAAAGCGCTGCTATGGTATTTTACTAATGTCTATGAAACTCAAGGTCAAAAGTCCTAGGAAAAACAGATCATCGTCCCCACGAGTGTTTTTTTTTTTTTTTTTTTTTTTCATTGGAAGCATATTCTCAGTGGAACGATGCAAGTTCTTGAGGAAGAAAATGGCATTCACACTTCACAGCCATTGACTATGAAGTTGCTCCTACTGCATAAAAAGGTCTGATGAATAACTTTTGCAGTAAATGCCAAACCAATGACAATAACGCAGCATCCAGAGTTTATGTCAAGCTTCCTCAAACGGTTCCTGACTTTCATCAAGCTTTGTTATCTGTAGGGGGTGGAAATATTCATGACCACCAAACCCTAAGGGTGCACAAGATTCGAACTACTCGCGAATATCTCAGCTTGATTTGAACTCGATGTTGAGCAAGCTCAAGTCTAGTTCGAGCAATTCGTTTGAACTCACGAGTCAATTTCAAACTTAAAATTCTAGTACTCGAAACTCAACGAGCTCATTCAAGTAGTTGCATTTTTTAATTAAATTATTAATATTACAAAATTACTCGTTTAGGTACGTTATTTGTGAAATTTATTAAAGATATTAGAACCATTAGCCAAGCTTGAGGTTGAGTACTCGATCTCGATTAGGTTTGACAACTATATATAGAGTCTTTTCAAGTCGAGCTCGATATCAAGTAGAAGCCTTTCGAGTTGAATTTAGACTTCGACTCTCAGACCTGTTCAAACTCGAGCACCCCTTCATTCATCAAATTTGAGCTCGAACGCGGTGATATTTGAATTCAACTCGACTTTAATGCATCTCTACCAAACACAAGATATTTTTGTGTTTTTTTCGTATAATCCTTTTTTTATTTGGTTGAAAGAGATGATGGAAACTGACGTCGTATCAAACCATAAAAATGGCAATAAAGTCTTATTTAGCCAAATATGGGGAAAAAAAAAAAAAAAAGAACGGGAGAATCAGTGTATCGATTGGAGGACTTCAAAAAGGCAAAAAATTTTAGGAACGAGTACGTAGTGAGTACTGAAGGACCAATTAAGCCTTCCGGACCATGCACAAGAAAAATCATGCCCTTTGTCTTTCTATTACGCAAATTAGGCGGGTGCAGCTGTAAGATGCATTATGAGATTATATGTTGTTTTCGTAGTTGCTGATGTTGAAATCTAATCTCTCAAGAAATGGCCATTGCTTGCCTAATATGCCTTGCTTCACCTCCTTGAGAAAATCCCTCTGACTTAATCATATCAACCATCAATCTTATTCTACTATGCAGAATATATACTTAAACGAAAAAAGTCAAAGAATTGTTTCATGTATGCTTTCATTGAATTTTGTTGAAGAACGACTTTAATCTCTTTTGTTTTGAATAAATTTGCCCCATGATCTAATTATGTCCGTAGCTGAACGACTATTGAGCAAAAAATAATATCAAGAACTCACGCAGTTAGTGAAAGCTTCCATGTATAAACACAGCCACAATTGCAGTGTAAATGCATAACTTGTGAAAAAGATAAAATAAAGTCACATTGAGTAATTTTTTCTCACGGAAAATTTTCTATAACGCATAGAGCCAGTTGAATGAGGTAAAAAGTGGAACAAATTTATAAGAGACCACCAAATTCATTTTTTGACCGCAAATATAGTTAAAGGGATTTACAATGATATGGGGCAGATCATGGTTGGCTGACGGGAACTAATTGTTGAGGCTCCAACCAAAAGGGGCTGGAAGATGGTGCAATAGTTGGGCATTTTGTGAGGGTCAGCATACAGTAGTGTCTCCAATCACCGAAAGGTGAAAATAGATGTGAAAAATTTTTCTACCGCATTCATTAATTCGTGTCTCTTTTTGATGTGTACCTTGACCACAAAGTCCGATAGAGAGACCAATACAGTGTCATTTCTTGTTTCCTTTCCTTGACCTACTGTGTTTTTTCGCATGATTAATCTTAAAATTTGTTAAGATCAAAAAATTACTCGAATTACTATCGTGCGCAACTGTGCATCATGTGGACATATTGAGATTTTTACTCAGATTTCTATGTCCGTTGAAAGAAGAGGGTTCGATTGAACATTAACTCACGTATTTATTAAAAGTGGAGAGTTAAATTGAATAGTAACATAGAATAGATTGTAAGTAAGAAATTCTGAATTCAACACGTCCCACCACCTAATATCGGTTGAGAATGTGATTGGATGAATCACATGCATGATACACTTTGTGAGAGCCGAGGAAAAGCGAAATGGGGAATAATGTTCCACACCCCAAATTGGCATATCCCTAAACTTTTCCACTTTTGCTTCATTCTAGGCTTCGTTTTTCACTACATGAACTGGAGCCCTCCTGGGAGAGGGGAAAGCAGGTGCAAATTCGTGTTTCAGTGGTAAAAAAAACCCACAAGCATTCGGGGCACATTGTGGCCTCAAATTTGCTAGTTTGGTACGGCTAGCACTAGACAACCATCAGGCTTGAAACAAAGTGACTAAAAAAATCGGTACAAATGACTTTTGTAAGTGAGCATGTTTTCATAACATGTCGTTTGAAATACTCTACTAGGTTTGTCAATTGCTAAAAAATTGCGTTTGGACTTAATTTTTTTAAACCAAAAAAAAAAAAAAACCAACCAAAGCAAGCTGAGAAGGCATATGAAACGCTTTTGAGCTTCCGCAATTGATCTACAAAGATTCTCTTAAACTTGCTTTTTGTCAACTCAACAAAGTTTCAAAAGCAATAATTAGAGTTAACTGCATATGTTTAATAGTAGCATTTGCGCTTGCAATTATTGGCCACCTTCCATCTAATCTCTCCCTATCGCCCTCTGTGTGTGTGTGTGTGTGAAGGATAAGGCTCTTTCGGTCGTTATCTGACCAATTGATATCTCCAATCGAGCTAATATCATTGGCTTGCTGTCATTTCACTTTGAGCTTGTTTTGTAATTACTTATGGTCACAAACCCATAAACACAAAAACGCCAGCGCACGTATTTGCTCCTTTTCTACTAGTAGTCAATTCAGTTTCACATCACTTTCTGAATATATATGCTTATGTTCCCATAAAACTCCTGAATCCTGACGAATTTATTCTTTGATTTTTGACTTTTTTTTTTCAATTTGTAGGATGAATTAATTCAATGTTCTTTTCCATTAACCTGCCGAAATATTGTAAAGGATGTCTAATATTTGCCACGTTGCCTTTTCTCTTTGTTTTGTTCTTTTTCTTTTTTTGGTCAAGACAGGAGTGTCTAGGTCAATGTTTATGGGCCCGACTAATCCCCAGCGGCCCGAGCCCGGCGCCCCAACCCGACCAAGGCACGATAAGTGCACAGGTGTTTCCATAGCGCAGTTTCGAACCCGGGATCTGAATGTCCCAAAGGAACACTGCTACCATGTGGCTAAACCGACGAGGACTCTCTTTGTTTTGTTCTGATATTTGTTTTTTTCTTCTTTGGTCTCTCATCACAGGAACTCACAAAGCATTACCCATTTTCTTTGATGAGTGATCAGAAAAGAAGTAGGAAATTCTTTGAAAACAATGCATGCATTTATGCATTTGTAGGTGGATGCATACAAAATTTTTTTTTTTTTTTAAAGGTACTTTTTGATTTGTTTAATCGGTAGTAGTAGATAAAGGGCTATTTGTTCAATGTTTCAATCTCCTTGAACAAGATAATCAATTGCATGCAGTGATGTATTATTTTTTATATCTAACTTCTTTTTAGATTTTTTTTCCCAATCCAATTCTAATATTTTGTGCTTCTCCGCTGCAACA